TTCATTGTCCGCCTAAAATGACGTTACTAAGGCACTGAAGTGTGATTGGCGAGATCGTTTTCTAAGCATTAACAATTCCTAGACGGTCGCCAATGAAGCTGGATGTCTCCACTATATTATGATGAATACTCTTTATTTATTGCAGAGATTAACATCCGAGTAGATGGGGCTATTTTTCAGGGACTGGGTAAGTTGACAAGTCCATTTTATTCCTGTAGTTATACTAAATAAAATCACGGCTACCTTTAGTCAGGGTAGCTGTTGTCCCTCCTAAGAATCAAACCAAGTGCATATGAATTACGGTCGGGCACTGTTTCGTCCGTTTCAATATTGTCACGAGAGATAAACAGCCCAAGTTCTGGACAAGGTGTCCTGAAGCCACCAGACTATAAGTTTACTGCTGATTTCGCTTTCAAAGTCACGTCCTCTGCAGACCGTCTATTGTACCTCTGTAATCCCTTTATGATCCGACGGGATGGATCATTAACGATATATGCAGTGTCAATTACACTCCCATCTATTATAATAAATCAGGCTATTATCATCATTATGGGCATTTCAAGTTCAGACTCCCGGGATTTCATCTCTAGTATCCATTTCGCCATGCTTCGTGTTGAGGGTGTTGTTTTTCTGGGTTTTGGCGCTGTGTAGACTAGCCGATAGGTGACTACGTTTCGAAAACACATACTGTTTCCATCTTCAGGGCTTCACGTTCGCATACCTTTCGGGGAGTCAGCCAGCCTGGAAGTACTGTACTTCTGCCTGTTGCAGTAATTTAGTGTCATGTAATATCATGAGAAGGGCAGGTCACTGTAATTCATGAGATATTATTAAAATGGAGGTGCTTCTAAGGACCAGCTCACTACCTTAGTAAGTTTCATCCATCGGCATTCTTGGTAAGAAAACGCTACGTTTAGGGCGATAAAATCACTAGAGTATGAGATTACCAGGAAATGTAGCACGCATGAGAAATGAAAATTTTGGTCGGAATTCCACAGGTAACGTAATTTGTGAGGATAATATTAATCAGGTCTCAGTAAATATGGTTTGTCGTTGTAGCCTGGATTCATCTGAATCAGGATAGGATTCAATGGCGAGATTTGTTGAACACAGTAATGAACTTTCGGGTTAAATAAAGTGTTAATTCCTTGACCAACAGTGTAACTGGAATATGCACAAAGAGGACCTCACACCATTGACATATAAACAATATATAAAGAGTATCGAAAGTCATTAAAATAAAAATTTGCCAGACATTCCGGCATAAACCCTAACGGAATTAAACTCTAAGTTCATCTAACAATAACATTTTAGCTCCTTTCTCTAACAATTATGGAAAATCTAAAGTGGACGGAAGGTACCAAACAAACCTCTCTTCATGTGTAGTTAACAATTCACTGAGAATGATTAATCACCAATCCATTACCTTCGAGGTGAAGCTCACTAAAATCGATTTAAACATCCCACTACACGCCCTTGACCGATTCAAGCGTTGGCAGCGCCTCTGGTGGAGAATCTCCCGTCCTCCTCCACCACCATCTTGATAAAATTTAACAGAATAAAAGACTAACGCTAAAATAAGAACTACTGTTTGAGTATTATGTATTCGAAATGTGGCAAATATTTCCATCGTACCGAAAATGCTGTATTAAATAAATGATCGACACTAATCGAAACACGCGACCAATGTGAATTTCAGAATTTCATTACGGATACCGCAAACATAAGCTTTAGGCGCCCGTCCACAAACGTAAGTGAAAAATCTAACAGCTCACAAGTTTTGCGACTTAGAAACGATACGATCTCTCCATGTACGCTGAAAATATTGGGTAAAGCAATGGTACTAGTATCTTAACTTCAAGTTGATTTCAGGCACAGTAAATAGTGGGCAGTGCTTTTGAAAGTCAGTCAACAAAAAAGCAGTGTATTGTAGATAAAAACGATGGTGCTCTAAGCTTCTAGCGTGAAGACATTTAAGAAAAGCGCAAAAAGAATTAGGAACCCAGATGACCTCCAGAATCAAGCCCACGATCTGTGGAATAAGTTCAAGACACCGATAAGCCCTGTGTGTGTATTTGCACAAGGGTACCAAAAAGCATGAACATGATATAATCTTTAAAGACCTAAGGACGATGTAATATCGATGTTCTCGTCAAATAATATTCTCACTAGCATTGTTTTATCCATAGGAGTTTCTAAAACCAAAACAAACCAAACTACCTTTAGAATTTGAGGATCTCACGTTGATTAACAAATTCTTATTAACACTTCCATGAAGTGTCCTCAACTGCGATGTACCTTCAGAGTAACAGATTATATTTTACATCCATAAAATATGGGTAAAAATTTGGTTTTATGTACAAGCATTTAGAAGGATTGGTAGGACCTGCCAAAGAATCTGTTCAAATGAGAGGAACCAGATAACAACTCTAAACAGCGGCCTCTGTTTTTCCATCAAGTAAAGTAAACAAATATTAATGTTTTAATATGGGCACCGCTAACTTCATCCTGGCTTTAACAAAACTCGTATCTTAGTGGTTCTGTTTTCTTAGGCAGAAGAATACTGACGTCTGGACACAGTGTAGGGCTAATAAACCCTCCAAGATATATAACCATTAGCTTACATACAAGAAAAAAGGATACATTAAAATACAAAAACATTAAGGTATGTAATTCCTTGACTTCAGCATACATTAACGTCTTTACGAACTTGCGCCTTTGGATATATCCTGTAAATTCCACCCATCTCCATAAATTTTACAGTACATAAACATGAGTAATAATCTCAGCCCCAACAGTTTCTCTGCAGCCCTGTTTTACGACAGTGCTTGCCCATAACATCATGTAGTGGGCCGTTAGCCATAATACCGAAGATAAATAGGGTAAATATGTTCACCCCGAACAATTTGTTTATTCATGTACAAAGTGAAGCTTTAGCGGTGACTGGAGTTGATTAAAGACTCTCGGGTTACACGCCGCGTCAGGTGGCTGAATGCTGAATAAATCATATCTTCTGCCAAGGTTTCGAGAACAATCTCCGCAGATGATAGGACGATTAATGCATAACAAGTTGGAAATAATTTGAAAGGAATCGTAAGTGTCCTAATCTGAGATACTACCCCAACATTTGCCTTGAGAGACTGAGGAAAACCATGAAACAGTCGGTCAGGATACCTAGGCCCTGGTATTTTCTGTACAGCAAGAGTGTACCTGAAAATTTTAGGAAAACTCCTCTAAAAATATCTATATTAATCGATCCAGTGTTACGAATGTTAAGTTTAATTTAAAATAATAGCTCAGCATGTATAGAACTTCCTTCTTTAAATCAGTAGTGCTGTATGATCAAGCAATCCGTTGGCCCGCGGGTTTTGTAAGCACGAAAGACAGAATTTATCAATAAAAGAAAAGCACGCTCGCGTCTGTCTGGCTGGTGGCCTCACATCGCATGGTTCACACGGTGACCTACTTCATTCCCTCAGAAACTGAGCGACAGATCTTTCATTATACGACAAGATCAGGTATCCTGAATTTATCAGCTGGACCCAACAATCAGGGAATTCACACCACAATAACAAAGTCAACGATGGCCAATGCCATGACATTATCATCCCTGGATTTCATCCGGCACGAAAGACCTTGTCTAGATCATGATGACTGGTTTTACAGTTAAATGGTGGTACAACATAAATAATTGTATTCTGCGACCATGTTGTTTGGCGGTTAAAAGCTTGTAGGACACACTATATATCACAACAAACTACAAATATAATGACTTGGAAAATTACTTGATTCTATACAGTTAAATGGATTCGCATCTCCAACAAATCGACAAACCATGGCTCTAAATATTTCACTAGTACATATGACTGGAATGAGCCGGGATACCTCAGTTAGTGTAGTGACTAGCTACGGGCTGGACGACCGGGGTTCGATCCCCGACGGGGGCAGAGGATTTTTCCTCTAGCCTCTGGGGCCCACCCAGCCTCCTCTACAATGTGTACCGAGGTCCTTTCCCGGAGGTAAAGCCGGCCGGGGCGTGATGCTGACCACTCACCCCCATCTAGTGCCGAGGTCAAGAAAGAGAGGAGCAATACCTCCACTCCCCCCAAGCGCCTACATGGCGTACAGTGGGACAAACTTTACTTTACTTTTACATATGACTGGATCCAGAGTAGTGAGAATAACATTAATACTAAAGAGTATAAGTGGTAAACTTACATTTAATACAGCGACGTGTTACCATTACAATATAATGTTTAAGAATGGAAAACATTCACGCGTGTATATGTTTGTAGAAAAATGACCATAATCCTCATGGCTTGGTTAACAATTTAAAGTATAATGGTAACTATTTGTACGACCAGCTTAACAATCAATCTCTGCATTTTGTATTTATGACTGAAAATGTAAACAGGGATTGTTTACTTGAAGAACATTTAACCAGTTAATATCTGTAATGGAGAAGCGTTGTTTCATTTGCGGTACGTCCTGTAGCCTATTGTTAAATATTTATTACGGAATATTCAACTTTGAATGGCTGATATCGTATCTCCTCAGTCTGATATTAAATCCGAACGCAAATATATAAACAGTACTAGAGTTTTTGCTGAAGAACTAAGTACAGTCCACGACTGTAATCTTGAGACTTGCAAGGAATGCAGGAAGTCCGTAGCGTTAAAGGCAGACGCTATATTTCCTCCTTCCTCCTTCACCCCACTTCCTCACCCCGCAAGTCTCAAGATTACAGTCGTGGACTGTACAAGTTGATATGTAAGCCTCAACAAATCTAGTGGAACGAAATGATCAAAGGAGTGGAATAAATTAAGATTACAAGATAACCAAGAGTGGCAATAGAAAATATATGATATTCAATATTTAAACTGCGATTTACAGAGACGTTTTCTTGGTATTATTAAATCTGAACCCATTGTGCAGGCTTAGTTCAACAACAAATATCATCTGAAACACACATAAATAAATGAACACTGAAGATCACTTACCATTTGCGGAGTGCTTTTACGTGTTCAGACTGCAGAGTCTGATTCAATGCTTCGCGGATGCGTTGAAGTTGAAAGTCAACGACTGAAGCAGATTTCTCAGAGCTCTGAAACAGACAAACATGCAGGTCACAGAGATCAGAATCGTGAAGGATTACAGTTACCTTAACTCTATTATATAAACCCACCAGAAATTTCTGAAATATTATATTATAATCGACCACGATCGATTCCTTCTTTCACCGACGTTCACACATTATACGATAATTCATCAACTTCTTTACCCTCTCAAACAGGACTATAGTACGGAGTACAGAACAGGGTTATCACCATGACGACAAAGGCAGCAATCACCTCTTAAACGTCGGTAAACTTCTACCAGACTACACAAAAACCCGTAAGAAAGTCATCTCCACAAAGTTGGTTTTAGCTTATATATAGTGCGAGATGGTTTTTCTACACTAATTATCTCAAAAGACCAAATAAATCCATTCCATAAAGCAGGTAATTTTCGGAGAGATATTTCGTGAGATGTTATATTGTACATCATCTCTCTTAAGTTCCTACAGAACTTGGAGTTGTGGGGAAAAAAATCAATTATTGGTCTTGGGTGACCTGAGAAATGTCTCCCAGAGGAGACAAACGTGCAAGAGTAACTTGATAACTCTTCCCCAGTGATGCTGAGCACAAGAACAAAGCGCGAGATTTTGTTTGCCTGCGACTCTTAGAAACAGACAAAGTGAGTAAGTTTCTAGAACAAAGTCTTCATTGAACAGTTAATAAGAAAGAAACTAATACAGTAAGAAGCAAACAAGCACACAAGGAATTAGAGAGAGAGGCAGACAAAAATGGCAACAGTAAATTGTTTGGTACAGAATCCTCTTCTTCGAACAGTTGACAGACATTAAATTTGTAAATAAATTAAATCACGATGATCTTCTGTGTTGTAATGTCGTATAGACTCGTAGGCAGACACAACCGTTTTTGAAGAAACAAACTGTTTCCATATTCAGGACTGAAGTATCTCTGAAACATTGTTATATACCTATCAGTCCACACTGCATCACATCCGTTAAGAAACAGTAATCATTTTCACCGCCGTGATAACCTAAAACCTCACAAAAAATTAAGTACTTTTTGGAACAGAAAGTTCATTACCGTATCAATAAAATCCTCTATTACACCCACTCTGCGCCATAAACCAATCCTACGAGTAGTTCTTCCTATGAGGTCTTCTGTTTAAATCTCGTAGACATTTATCTGTAGCAATTATCTAAAAGCAATCAGCACTTTTGCGTTCATTTCATGCACATCGTGCAAAGAACACACAAAATAACATTTGTAAAAGACAGGGTGTCAGTCCTGAAGATGGAGATAGTATATTCCTCCGAAACACTGGAATCTCCGTATAGTTCGACACAGCGTTCGTCAACCTACAAGGCCAACATCAACGCTTTTAACTTGTAGTTTATGCATTTATTGAATAAAATAAATATTATTCTACACCCTTATCGCTGCCTGTGTCACTTCATTTCCATTTCCCCAATTTCAAAACAAAACAGCCATGCAGTTTGTTTGCTTCTCCAATGTTGACACAAATCCCCGGCAGCAAATCCGTTTTAACCGCTGTCCCAGCGATATGATAGATCGGTTACAAAGCGCCTGCGAGATATACAATACTTCGTACCGGCTTGTTCCTGAGTTGCTACGCGCTCACAGTGCTCGAGTCTAACCAAACAGCAACACAGTCGAATTGAAACAGCTCAGACGAGGTCCCTAAAGACTATTACGGATTACAGCAGAACAAGCCCTATCAAGAACCAAGTTTAGACAAGAATTAAGCATATATTATCCTAGAAAAAAGTTTAATATCAAGCGAATTATTTCTAGCATATGGAAAGAACGGAAGAAAGAATATTTACTACGTTTTACCAATAGGCAGGAAAAAACGAGGTAGAACGTGAAATCGACGGAAGGACCAATTTTGATTTGAACCTTGGGGCCGAACAGTTTAACAAGACCAATCATTGAGACTGATGATCATTTGCTTTATGTGATGACAACGTCGAGAAACTCGCACGGTTGCGTTAACTTTAAATCCACAAACGAAACAAACCAGGAACGCTAATTTTTCTTCCTTCAATCTGTCGGCGTCCACCTTTGATTTGTACTGAAAGAGCATCTGATAGTTCGGTTTTCAGGCATTCTTTCCACTTCTCTTGACAGTATTTTATTGCTTTTTGATATATGTTACTTCTACGACCCGTCAACTTCCCGGTTCCGCGGTCTCCACTTTTAGTTCATTGTTCGTCAACTTCCATTGGATCCATATAGAATCACATGCATTGTTATTACTCTACAGAATTTACAAAGTGTTTGCTTTTGACATCTCCATAGTTATGTGAGTTTTATGGAATTAAATTTTAAAGAATTTAAAATCCAATATTGGTATACTTAAGCTTTCAACAGAATTTAAAATCTGGAATACCGTTCATAAATTAAAATATTACCTGAACTTTCTACCTAGATCCAATTCACCGTAGTTTGAAAATAAACAGCACAGTTATATAAATGTATGGTATTAATTTGACATATTACATCACAGATATCCTTGACCGAAGCTGAGCTCCCCGAACATTAGTTTCTTCCTTACACGACCCGCATATACTCGCCGTTAGAACACGAGAACACGCAACCAGACATTTCTCGATATTTACAGATAATTTTAGCGCCATGTAGTTGCTGCATGCCTCTCTTTAGTAAAATATCTGAATACGTATAGAAGGATGGACATTTGTCTTCCTTTCTGGTTCTCTCTTCGTCGTTATTTCTCTTTTGTACACACTTTTTGTTTCTAAACGTCCTGTTTATGTATATACTTTCATTTAATAATCTTAATACTAAAAGTGGAGCAATTGCGAATTTTCGTATCGCACTATTTTGTCAATCTGTCTGTTACTTCATATCTCGTTAACATAAACAAGAGAATTACAATACACAAATGTCTAGGAAAGTCTCGGCAAATTACTTGGAAAATTCTTCGTTTAAAGAAATAAAATACCGCTTCAGTGGCACCAGACGGGGAAGTTTTCATGCTTCTCATTAGTACTACTTGTCGGCTTGCTAAACAAAAATATACAGCTCAAAGGGATTATACATTATATTCAGGCCTACTCATATTATTGACACATAGCCTATCTATCGGTCAATTGTGCTGTAAATAAATCCGAGAAAGACATAGATTACATTCCCATTTGGTTCAACTCTTGTTCAGAAGCAGCTGCAAGGCCTTTAAAGCCGTCGGTATGAATAAGTGAGCATCAAAACCATCTCCTATATCATCCCTGCTATCAATAAGGTTACCCGGTTTCATCAATCATCAATGCTGTGTGTTCGTACCACTTCCACTATTCACCTTCATTGCAAAGCAATCAAATGACACCCACAGAGACGTGAAATGAGGACAATAAATGGGGCTGTTACGACACGAAGTATCCCACAGCAGAATTAGGTACTGACTGATTGATTGATTGATTCTGGGCTGGACGACCAGGGTTTGATTCGAAGGGGGACAGGATTTTTCTATCTGCTACAATGCCCAAACCGGCTGTGGGTCCTACCCAGTCTCCCATCAAATGGGACCAGGAGTTTACTCCACAGGAATAAAAGGGCTGGGGTGTGATACCATAGTTCGGTTTTCAGGCATTCTTTCCACTTCTCTTGACAGTATTTTATTGCTTTTTGATATATGTTACTTCTACGACCCGTCAACTTCCCGGTTCCGCGGTCTCCACTTTTAGTTCATTGTTCGTCAACTTCCATTGGATCCATATAGAATCACATGCATTGTTATTACTCTACAGAATTTACAAAGTGTTTGCTTTTGACATCTCCATAGTTATGTGAGTTTTATGGAATTAAATTTTAAAGAATTTAAAATCCAATATTGGTATACTTAAGCTTTCAAGAGAATTTAAAATCTAGAATACCGTTCATAACAAAAATATTACCGGAACTTTCTACCTAGATCCAGTTCAGTTATATAAATGTATGGTATTAATTTGACATATTACATCACAGATATCCTTGACCGAAGCTGAGCTCCCCGAACATTAGTTTCTTCCTTACACGACCCGCATATACTCGCCGTTAGAACACGAGAACACGCAACCAGACATTTCTCGATTTTTACAGATAATTTTAGCGCCATATAGTTGCCGCATGCCTCTCTTTAGTAAAATATCTGAATACGTATAGAAGGATGGACATTTGTCTTCCTTTCTGGTTCTATCTTCGTCGTTATTTCTCTTTTGTACACACTTTTTGTTTCTAAACGTCCTGCTTATGTATATACTTTCATTTAATAATCTTAATACTAAAAGTGGAGCAATTGCGAATTTTCGTATCGCACTATTTTGTCAATCTGTCTGTTACTTCATATCTCGTTAACATAAACAAGAGAATTACAATACACAAATGTCTAGGAAAGTCTCGGCAAATTACTTGGAAAATTCTTCGTTTAAAGAAATAAAATACCGCTTCAGTGGCACCAGACGGGGAAGTTTTCATGCTTCTCATTAGTACTACTTGTCGGCTTGCTAAACAAAAATATACAGCTCAAAGGGATTATACATTATATTCAGGCCTACTCATATTATTGACACATAGCCTATCTATCGGTCAATTCTGCTGTAAATAAATCCGAGAAAGACATAGATTACATTCCCATTTGGTTCAACTCTTGTTCAGAAGCAGCTGCAAGGCCTTTAAAGCCGTCGGTATGAATAAGTGAGCATCAAAACCATCTCCTATATCATCCCTGCTATCAATAAGGTTACCCGGTTTCATCAATCATCAATGCTGTGTGTTCGTACCACTTCCACTATTCACCTTCATTGCAAAGCAATCAAATGACACCCACAGAGACGTGAAATGAGGACAATAAATGGGGCTGTTACGACACGAAGTATCCCACAGCAGAATTAGGTACTGACTGATTGATTGATTGATTGATTCTGGGCTGGACGACCAGGGTTTGATTCGGAGGGGGACAGGATTTTTCTATCCGCTACAATGTCCAAACCGGCTGTGGGTCCCACCCAGTCTC